TGTAGGGAGCTCTGGTAGCATACCTAAGGCATTTGACTGCTAACCAGGAGGCTGGCAGTTCAAACCCACCAGCCACTCCTCGGAAGGAAGGCTGGGCAACCTACTTCCGTAGTGTTACCACCTCAGAAACCCAAGGAGGGGTCGCTATGAGTTGGGTCCAACTCGACAGCACATAACAACAACAACATGGGTGCTGTAACAAACTGCCACAACTTTGGGGGCTGAGGACAGCAGTTACTTGCTCTCTCCCCGTTGTGGAGGTCACGAGTCCAAAATCAGCATCTGAGGCTGAAAACCAGGTGTCAACAGGGCCGTACTACCTGAGAGACTCCAGGGAGAACGGCCTTTCCCTCGCAGCCTCTGCCGGCTGCTGGCACTTCTTCTCTGGAGGCTATGTCCCCACAGCTTCTTCAGATCTCTCTCTGCTCCGTCTGCATATCACCTTCTCCTCTGCGTGTCTGTGTCCAGCCCCCCTCTGCCTCAGTCTTAAAAAACACCTATGATGGCTTTTAGGGCTCACCTAGATAACGCAGAACAATCTCTCCAATTCTAAACCTTTAATTTAATCACAGCTACAGAGTCCAGTCTCCTCGGAAGGCAGATGGGGTAATATACTTCCGTAGTGATACCGCCTTGGCAACCCAAGCAGGGGTCGCTATGAGTCGGGTCCGACTCGACGGCACACTACAACAACAACAGAGTCCATTTTCCAAATAAGGCAGCAGTGTTCTGAGGATTAAGACTTGTTTCTTGAATGTCTCTAGCCATAGGCTGTCTTAATGAAAATTACCTCCACCAACTCCCCAATAAGCTTACCACAAACCCTACACATACTTCACCTGCTGTAATCAATGTCTCATCTACTGCAAGCCTCACTTTCAGCAGGGGCCAGAAGGAAAATTGCAGATTTCTTCTGCTAAGAGATCTTGGGTTGGAGATTGAGCACTTGCCCAGAGCAAGGCAGGTAGTGCTGTTCCTAAGCAGGCAGCAGTGAGTGGGTGGGCGCATCCTACTCAAACCTGCTACCTGTACAGGAGCCGACCCTTATCACCGAACCTAACAGGGGAAGCCAGAGTCACGTGTTTCCTCAGAAGGGAGCTCACACATCTACACACTCCTCCCAGGGTCCATCTGAGCTCTGAAGCCTGAGCGAAAACACCAGCTGTTAAAAGTAGCAAAACCCAGGCTACAGTTTGATGGATTTTAGTTCTGATGTCAGGAAAGAGGTTGGAAGCTAAGTCAGTTGTAAAACAAGGGGTCGGAAGAAAACCACAGTGTGAATGCAGACATACTGGGTTACACAGTCAGCGTTCTGACCTTTCGTGCCCCGAATGCCTCAGGAACCAATTTCTGTGCCTTCAGTCTGTAGAAAGATACCCGAGACATTCGAACAAGGTTGCAGAGAAGCTTTGTGAGTCTGTCCAAGTCAGGAAGGGAACCCCTCAATGCAAGTAGTTTTCCTTTCCCCTCAAACAGCAGAGAAGAGATGCCATGGGCCCTCAGGTCCCAGGTAGGAGGGCAGGTGAGGGGACATGCTTACCTTTGTTATGTGACATGGCATAGAGAAGGCAGAGCACGAAGAGGGCGTGGTAGTCCTCCTCAGGGCTGTCCAAGGCATGGTACACCATGTCCAGGAAGGGTCTGGAAAAGAGGGAGGCACACACCTGAGCCTCTGAACACGTGTCTCCTCGCACCTGCACGTGAGGGGCGAGCGGCCCTTCTCTCCCGCAGCTGTGCACTCACATAGCCCAGCAACCTTTACCGCGTCCCTGGTGTCTAGTCTAGCACCAGGCTCTGAGGCCACAGGGACAAGTCAGATCTCAGTTCTGCTCAGAGACAGCTGCTGTCTAGAGGGAGTAATTAACCAGGGAACAGACCTCTCAGTGGTTCAACAACTGTTCCCCAGGAGCCCCAGCCACTGTGGGAAGATGACAGAGTCCCCTGGTCCTGTGGCACTCACACATCAGATAAGAGGGCTGACACAGAGAACCAAAAGGCTCTAATATCATTGTTTCAAAGAGTGACAAGAAAATGAAGAAAGAAAATAGGGCAATGTGCTAGATGAACAGTACCAGACAAGACGCATACAAGTCCAAACAATTTCAAGAATGTGGGCTCTGGAGCCAGACTGCCCAGGTTCCAATTCTAATTCTTCCATTTGCCAGCTGCATGCTGCTGGGCGAGTTACTTAAAGCCTCTCTGTTCCCCCATTTATGCAGTGGGGACTACACCCCTGCAGGGTTATCATGAGGACGCAAGTGAAAATGATGGCTGACAGGCGTTCCGCTCAGGGCCAGGCCCAACTGGAAGGGGTTCAAGCCACAAGAGCTGCTATTTGGTTTCTATTTTTATCTTGAAGGAGCCCTGGTGAGGCAATGGTGAAGCGCTTGGCTGCTATCTGAAAAGTCGGTGGTTCAAACAAACCCAGTGGCTCCATGGAAGAAAGAACTGGCAGTCTGCTGCCATAAAAGTTACAGCCTTAGAAACCCTAGGAGGCAGTTCTACTCTGTCCTGTAGGGGCACTGAGAGTCAGAACCAACTCAATAGCACACAACAAGGACAGTTTTTCCATTCCAAGGGCACTTCCCTATGATCTCACTGTGGTAGGATCCCGGCCCAGGAATTTCTTGGATCAACTTTCCCCAACTGTAAGAATGGATCAGGAGGTCTCCTGCCTCTGACACTCTGTGGGTGACATTTGTAGAGCAGCTACACACATCAGAAACCACACACCCCAAACACTGTCCTTCAGCGAAGGGTCTGACCCAGAAGGACTCTCCAAAAACCCACTGCTGTCGAGTCGGACCCGACTCACAGCGACCCCTCCTTGGGTTTCCAAGGCGGTATCACTACGGAAGTGGATTGCCCAGAAGGACTCCACAACCCGACAATAACAGGATAAGCACAGATCGGGCCCACTGGCAGGAGATGCACACCCTGGGGCCTTCTGCAGCCATGCCCTTGGAAGGCCATGCCGAGGCCACGACTGCACATCACCTCAGGGAGTGACCAGGGCGTACTTAACCCCCGAAGCACACAAAGACCACTGTCCACACAGGCTGTCTGTAGAGGGTGAAATGGGGGGGGAGGGGCTGAGGAACAGGGAAGACTTTTCTTCGCATAACCTTTTAGACTTTTTGAATTTTGAACCTTCCTGTTGATTTAAACTATTAAACTGAAAGACAGAAAAGAAAAAAAACAGCAGAAATGTACTTGTCATAACATTTCAGGTTTTTTGTGAAACACAAAAATCCACAGAGAGACCTGAGCAGGGGCATTTATGTTCAGTCTCCCTTTGTCCCACCGCAGAGTGGGCCTCACCATCCACCTGCATCCATGGTTCCACCACACATGGGTCTGTAAGCCACCAATGACAATGCTTCCAAACTTAGGAGTAGGATGAAGCATACAATGTTTTCTGGTAAAACAGCTATTTGGCTTTGGGGTGTAGCTTCATTTGGGAAGAACAATGATTAACCAAATTCCCTGTCACAGGGGAAACCAAGTGCATGTGATCATCTTTCATGAGGTGACAGATGAATGCAGCCAGAAAGCATTTTGTTTCCTAAGTGACCAACAGAAATGAAGTGTGGAGTTTGATACAGATGAAGAAAAGGAAGAACAAAAAATGATGAACGTGGTATGGCCCAAGCTCTTGGCGGAAGAGAGGGTAGAATTCCCAAAAAGTAGGCAAGAAGGAAGAGACTGGGAGGCAACAGCCCTAACGTTAGTGACAGCTGCCCGTGAACTGGGATCATGGAGGCTTTTTTCCATTCTTTACGTGTTTCAAGGTTTAACATTTTATGAATGTGAATTGTTTTTATAATTAAAAAAAAAAAGATTTTTGGAATAGTTTTTAGTTAGTTGTACCTATATTAGGAGCCTTGGTAATGCAGTGGTTAAAGTGCTCAATTGCCAACTCCAAGATCAGTGGTTTGAATTCACCAGCTGTTCCTCAGGAAAAAGATGAGGTGGTCTGCTTCTGTGAAGATTTCAGCCTTGGAAACCCTCTGGGGCAGTTCTACTCTGTCCTCTAGGGTCGCCATGAGTCGGAATTGACTTGACAACAGCTGGTTTGGTTTTGGTATGTCCAGATTAAACCCCACATGAAGACATGGCCCATGCTGCGAAGGGCTGAGAGCAGTCCTGCCTTCTAAGCGGTTTCTTTGGGCTGTGGGTGAATGTCAAGATTCACATTGCATCACGGGGAGCACATTTCCACCCTCCCCCCACCTCAGCAGGGAGCTCTGGTGGCATAGTGGCTAAGGCATCTGATTGCTAACCAGAAGCCTGCTGGTTCAAACCCATCAGCCACTCCCTGAAAGGAAGGTTAGGCAATCTACTTCCGTAGTGATACCGCCTTGGAAACCCAACGAGGGGTCACTGTGAGTCGGACCTGACTCGACAGCAGTGGGCGGTCACCTCAGCAGCCTCCCTGCCTCAGTGCTAGGGGCTGGGGTGGCAGGGGCAGCAGCAGGGTCCCTGGTCACCAACAACTGGAGGCATGCAGAGGAGAAGGCTGTTCTCACCCTGGGCCAGGCTCTGTGAGGCACATCTGGCCCAGAGGCTCCTGGGTGGTGTGCTCACAACCCCCATAGGGCCCAAGTCAGGGCACCTGTCTCAGTTTCCATCTTAAACCAAGTGGCAGAAGATGCCCACTATAGCCACTCAAAAGTTAAAAACCAGTGTCAGTCACCCCTAAGAAAGATTTAAAAAAAATACCACCAACTCTAACAGTCTAGCATAATGTTTTGGTCGGTTTCTTTTTGATTTTAAGAACACACAGGTATTTTCTTCCTTTAACAAAGCTATAGTATTACCATACTATGCAAAATGCATCCCTGGGTCATTTATTAGTTCGTAAGCATTTGGAAACATCATGACACTATCCATTGACAAGCAGCCGGTTCTTATTCTATTCAGCAAATAGATCTTAATTTGCTTAAGCTTTCCCCAAGGCTAGTCACTCTTGGCTTCTCTAATTATGCATATTCCAAATGACCTTGTGCTGAGCATCTAAAGGTCTCTTCCCTCCTTTTGTGTTTAGAATGATTTCCTTAACTTTCAGAGCATAATGTGTACATTTTTTGCTGCCAAGCAAAATCAAAGCAGACTTTATAAGTTACAACTGATAGTCTAAACCACCCTTCCAGTATGTTGTTTAATAAAAACTAAAAATGGTTCCCCTGTGCATTTGATAAAAATTAATTCCATCTGTTAGGCAAATGCAGTGCTCTGAACCCGTTCTTCCTGGTTTAGTCATGGCTGACAAAGTGAAATCAGGGTGGACCCGAATTTGTAAAAACGTAGATAACTGGAACAGAGCAGGGCATAAGTCAACGCCCTATAGTAACTTAATCTCCCTCTTAGAAAACAGTGTGTGCATTGTGTAGCAGCCAAATCTCTTGAATAGCAGAGTTGGAAACAATGGTGTTCGGCTCAAAGATGGTGGCCGTCTATGCTGCTTTGAATATATGTCAACCTCCACAGTCCTGGCAATAATCCAGTCTCCCACATCAGGCTCCTGAAAGGGCTCATGATGCCCCTTCCAATTCTCCTATTCCAGGGCTTCCATGTACAATTTTTCTCATTTCAGTTATCATCCCAGCACACTCACATTTTACAAATTCAGGTCTGTCCCGATTTCTTTGCATTGGCCATGACTGTGCTGGTTCGAACCAGCCGGAAGCCCTGGGTAATTGAAACATTTGCCAAGCAAAAGGATAAACAAGATGTGGAAGAAAACATTAGTGTGTTTCAATGCCTCACTTTAATTTGGATTAATAAAATTAATTGAATTGAATGCCTGGTCGGCTGACAGAGGAACCGCCAGACTTGCTGGACATTTATTAATGCAAGGTATAGGACTAGGGGGACTCTGCAGGGTCTGTGCAGTGGGACTACTTTATAAGGACATCGCCCTGAAATGAGGAAGCCCTCCTAACTGTTCAGTGCATGGTCAGGGAGGCTGAGAGAGTTCAAGTTCAGCAGGGTGTCACTGAAATGAACAATCAAGCAGAGTCAAATGTAGACAGCAGGATTTGACCATGCCAGCCAAGTCAGTAGGGGCAGGTGCCACGGACGGTGATGTGAATGGCAGTGAATGAATGACAACAGGGAGATCCAAGCCTGACCCCAGGGGGAGCCTTCTTAGGAAGAGCCAATGTAAGGTGAGGTCACACCCTCTTAGATGAGGCCCAACACCAAAGTGCTCCAGGGGTGGTTGCAATGCAGCTTGGTCTCTTCCCGAGGTTAGCACTAGAATGTCATCTAAGCTCTGTCCCCTTGACCTCTCAAGAGGAGCCGTGCCTCTGGTGGTCAGGTGCTGGAGGAGGAGCAGGGAAAGACAGAAGCAGGAGGGTTTGGCTGAGACACAGAAGAGGCCATACAGTGTGGCAGGAAGAGGCCCCAAATTATTCTTGGTGATCACCATGGGCTGGGTGACCCTGGCAAGGCACTGGACCTCAATGCTGAGCCCATCTCCTATCGTGAGAGTGGCAACGCCCACTGACAGGGAGGTGGGCATCTGGCTAGCTCCTAGGCAGCCCCCGCCCGCAGCGCACAGCACACTCAGGAGGGCGGGGCCCCTCTGTCCAGCTACCTGCTGCACTGCACACTGTCACTGCAGCCAGTGGCCGCGGCGCTCTTCTCCTCGTCCGTGGTGTTCTGCTCCTGCATGGAGGTGCTGGCGGCCACTTCTGAGAGCTTGCTGCGCTCCATGATCACCATCTCGATCTCTGGAAGCAAACATGAAAATGGGTGAGGCCAGACAGTGCACTGACCTATCTTTACAGACACACTTGTGTGCGAGAAGAAGCACACGTAAACTGCTCCCAGTGTATCCAGCAAAGGTTCCACAGTGGGATCACAAACGTAGCAACACACTGGGGCAGAGGTAAGACAGAGGCCAGAACCCCTCTTTCCATTCATCTCAGAAAAACCACAAAATGTGCCCATGATTTTGACAAGAAAACATGAGTTGCAATCATTTCTTCTATCTCAGCATTAAAATAGATACCTTATGGATATCATACTTCCTCCCTCAAAGATGTGAAGCAGCTTAGAAGAAACAGTATGTGGTCAATAACACAGAACCAAATTCACTGAAAATATTCCAAGGCTGTGCACACTTTAGCAAAGGTTTTGCCATGACTCCAAAAGCTTGTTTTTTTCCTTTTCCATTCACTGCTTCCATGAGGAAGAGAGAGCTAAGGTACCTTGTTGTATTTTTTCCCAATTAAATAAAGGCAACTCACAGCAACCAACTAAAGCATGGTAAGCATTTTACTTTGCAGAAAACCTGATGAACCACTAAAGAGTATCTTGAATTAAAGATGGATGGTTTGTGTTTTAAGGTCTCTCAAAAAAAATGGGGTTCTTTGCCATGCACATGTGGGCCTGCTAATGGCATTTCCCCATCTTCAGACATAAACAAGATGACTGAGATGTGCACCTGCACTTCTGTTTCTGGAAGGATGAGAACACATACCTGGACCCAGACGCTGCCTCCACTGGTACCACTCTAGTCCAAGCCCCTCGTCTTCCCCAGGCCTCCCTTTCCTTTCTGCCTGCGCCCCCCCCCCCCAGTCTGCTCTCCATACAGATCCAAAGTGATTTTAAATGGAAATTAGCACATGTCATCCTTTTCCTCAAAACTCTCCAGCTCCTTCCCATCACACTTAGGATGAAATCCAAACGCTTTGCATGGGCTGGCCCCTGTCCACCTCTGAGCTCACCTCCCTGCCCTGTCCGCCCCACGCATTCACTCGCTCGCCTGTGCCCTGCCAGCTGTGCTGGAGCTCTTCCCGGTCCCAGAGAGCCCCAACTCAAGCCTGTTTCTGCCTCGGGACCTTTACACAGCTGTGTCCTCCGGCTGTGGCCCTGGCCTGTAAAGCCCCTGCCCACACTGCAGGCCCCTATTCCCCAGGTACAGCCCTGACCCCGGGGGCTGACACAGCAGAACTCAGCTCTTGGGCTCCTAACCTCAGGCCTCGGCCTGTAGAACAAGCGTGCTATGACGTGGTGTCCCCTTTCTGGCGTTTCACTCTCCCTGGACACCACGAGAATTCTGGGGGAAGGGCGGGGAGGGGAAGGGAGGAGAGAGACTAAAGCAAAGCCCAGATGGGGGCCCCAAACTGGAGTGGCTGGAGCCTAACCGTGGCTGGCACTTCGCATGGCACACCCCCCCACACAGAGAGCAGATGACAGCAGAGCTGCTCCAAGGGAAGACTGAGAGGATGGGGCCCCTCGGGCACTCCCCAGAGGTCCCCCAGGTCGCCTTCCAGAATCCCGGGGCTTCCCACAAAGGTGCCTCAAAACCACTGCTTTGGCCCAGCCCTGGATGCTGTGTCTGAGCAAACAGGGACCCAGAGTGCAGGAACCCTGCTAAGGAAACACAGTTGGAAATGTGGCAAAGCCAGCCGAGGGGCCCCGCCTCCCGCCCGGGCCCCCCGCTCAGGCCCCTTCAACCTCTTCGGCATGCTGGTCCTCACAGGCGGCAGCGCCTCCCCTGTCCTGTCCCGCCTCGCCCGCCTGTGGGATGAGAGCTCCACCGAGATCCACGTCCTCCACGGAGGACTGCCTTGTCTTCTTCCTCCTTTATAACTGTTTTATCCAAAATCAACCCTTAACAACAGCACTGGTCTACTGTCTAATTCACTGAAACAGTATGCACAATTCCATATTGGCAGAGACTAGTGGGTGGTGTTTTTACTCTAAACTGGATTCTCTGGCCACCTTTCAAAAACCACACAGGAGGGGACTGGCCATTCATGGAGGTTCAGGGTCACAATGAGCACCCTTCTTTATCCCACATGGGAGCATGGGGCCACGTCCCTTCTCCCTGCTGACAGGTACCACGCTCCCACCATGCACACTGCCAGAAGCCACCACCAGGGAAACAGGTCGATGGCTCACATGGACACAGATCTCACCTGACGGCCCGCGGCAAGCAGTGTTTTGGTTACCTAGTGCGGCACTTGACTGCTAACCAGAAGGCTAGTGGTTCAAACCCACCAGCCACTCCTCGGGAGGAAGGCTGGGCAATCTACTTCCGTAGTGAAACTGCCTCAGAAATTCAAGGAGGGGTCGCTATGAGTCGGGTTCAACTTGATAGCACATAACAACAACAACAACTGCCGCTCTGATAGGAATATACCATAAATGGGATGGCTTGAACAAACAAGAGTTTATTCTCTTATAGTTCAAGAGGCTAGAAATCCGAGTTCAAAGTGCAGGCTCTAGGGGTCCCTTGACCTTGGGCTTCAGCTCTGCCTCTTGCTCCCAGCCCACTGACGCTAGAGGCATCTCTTCACTCAGGCAGCTGCTGGCTGCTGAGGCTACCAAGCCCAAGGTCAACAAATAAAATGGCACAGTCCGAATATTACCAAACCACACAGTAAGCCATTAATTCAAGTCCATTGAGAGTCCCAAGGTTGGCAGAGCATGGCAGGCTGCTGAACAACGACTTGGCTACATGCAGGGTCCAAGCGTTCCATAAGCTAGAGACTGTTCCCCAAGACTTCTGCTTATATACAGGAAGCAGACCACATTCCCTAAGGCAGCTATTCAGCTGCTCATAGTAGATTCCACCATGGAGTTGATTACCAGTCTCAT